GATACCGCCCGCATCGTCCGCCGGTTTCTCTCCCTATCGCCCTAACCCTCGGCCGTTTGGTCTCCCCTGCCGAGGGCTTCCGTCTGGTTGGGTCCTATTTATATATGTATCACCCCATTATTATTGGATGGCCTAATTAAGACTTCGTGGGTGTGGTACATTATGTAAAGACAAAAATGTCCAATTTTCAACGCCATAAAAGCGTAATCAAGATTTTCGAATTTAACGAATTTTGCGGACCTGGCCCTAAATTGCTCTAAATACTTATTTAGTAATTTGGTACTTACTAAAGGAGCATTGTAAAGCGCTAGTAGTGATGATTGTAAAGCTTAAAAGCAAAATAGAAACGTCGCAAACTTTTGTTTTTTAAAACATTGGTGCATAACAAGTTTTACGCTAAAAACATAATTTGAATAATATCAAAACAACGTTATCTGTGTACTTTCAAACAATATATCTACGAATTTATATTTTATTTCCACATAATTTTATATAATTTTATTTCTGGTTGTTTGTAGAGTAAGAATTATTGAATTTTTATAGACATTTCAATGCAATTATACGAGGTAACAGTATGGACATACGCCGTGGCCACAAAAGCATTTACACTTAGCTATACATATTTAAAACCCAATTACGGGTCTGCTATTCAATAATGTTTTTAATCACAAAATATTATCTTACACCTTTGATAGTATTGGTACAGGCGAAGGTTGTCCCAAGCTGTGTAGGGTTACTTAATCTATGCGTAACATTCAACAATATTAATAAATGAACATTTATTAAATTTATTGAATATTCTAATTGAATAATATTAATAAATGTTTATTAAAGTGGCTAAGAGGGATCCTAAAGTCATGGTTCGAATGCAATTTCAATCGACTTAATTAGTGTCAAGAATGATCAAAAAACCTTGCAGAAATGTTTTTTTTTTTTGTAAACGCAGTTTAGAGTGAAATTTTACTTATAAGATTGATAAACCGCAAATGGGACTAGCTTGAGAAAACGTTTTTTTGCGTAAATGTAGTTTACAGTTGAATTATACTTGTTTTTTCGTTATGTGAGAAAGTGACAAACGAGCTGGCGGTTCACCTAATGTTAAGTGATAACCGCCACCCATGGATATTTACAACACCTGCTGCAGATGTAGTGCCACCTTTTAATAATGTGGGCCCCGGCTACCTCACCTCACTCACTCACCAGACGAAACGCAGATGTGTAACACTTCTACTTTACGCCGGTCTTCTGTGGGGTCGTGGTACTAACCCGAACGGACCTGCCCATTCGTGCAACAGCGAACAATGTTTGGTCCTACCACCGCAAAATTGTTTAGAATTAAATCTATTGTATTTACGTAACAATCAATTAAAATAATAAAGCACAACTGCGGCTTTCAATATCCATAAAAGAACCGGGATGGAATCTAAACAAAGGGAGATGTAGAAATGCTACAAACCTAACTTTAGATTTTGAGTTATTTTCTGTTGTCTAGCAACATTCTCTTGCCGTCTCTGCGCTTAAGGTGTAATAAGTGTTCCTTAATAAAATTGATTATTCATTTTATTTAATTATATAACCTTTTATTGTAAAGTACAACAGCTACAAACATGAGACATGGCCGAATGAGAGTTACTCCATAATGAGGCCATAGATATGACCTTCAAAAGATAGAGATTAAATGTGTTCATATTACAAAGGACAAAATGTACATATGTGTAGTTTGTCAATCTTAATAATATGTTTTCTCTTTTCTTACTTTTGAGAAAACAGGCTCTCTGCTTAGTACTAGTACTAATGGACATCTAGCCAGAATTTTTTTGTTAACTTCTCTCTCTAAGGTTCGATTCTCTTGCAGGACGAACAAACTACATAATCATGGTTAACTGACTGGATGTTAGGGCCACGCTAGTCTTCTGTTGCACGGAGGGGCAGGTAAGCACCAGGACCTCATAGTAGACCGGCGTAAAGTGGAAGTGGTATATTTCTGCGTTTCGTCTGTTGAGTGAGGTAGCCGGGGCCAGTTTTATTAAAAGGCAACGAAACTGCTTGGGCATGCTTGTTTGGGGCTGTACTCACAGAAGACCGGCATTAAGTGTTGAAGATATGTGTACAGGCAAAGCCGTACATTTTCTATTGTATAGCAAAACTGCGCACACGGCATATTGACACTTGCAAGCGCTCGTATGCGCGACCTAGTTTATACTTTAGTTCGTAATTATAATTTTAATATTTTTCTGTTCAGTAAAAGCATTCAATGACATCGGTCGCTTTATTTTGACATTTCTTAAGCGCCATACAATTGACATAAGCTGATCCACCCCACATTGACATTAAGGTGTGGTGGTACACGCAGTTACCAGCACAATATGCATGGGCGGCGGTAATCACTTAACATCAGGCGAACTGACAGCTCGCTTTCCAAATTTTCACATAAAAAAAGAGAGGAGGAATATAAAGTCAATCTTTTTTTGTAAAATATATTTAATTAATCAAAGTATGCACCGTTGTTATCTATGCACTTTTGCCATATATGGCACTACCATGTACTACCTATAAGTTCATTGGTCCCTTTACTAAACTGAAAACCATGGGGGCGAGAATCAATAAACTCTTTGAAGGCGGCTTGGATTGAAGGAGCTAATATGTTAGGTGTAGCGGAAGGTTGAAGTCTCTGCCAAACCCTTCATGTAAAACGCGTACGGATACGAGCATATTAATATGGCACTTGGAATTAGCATTGTGAAGGAGTCCTCATATCGTATGCGTAGAGAGCCTTTCCGTTTCTAATTTCCATGTAAACAATCGTATTGACATCGCGGAGTGTTTTGATAGTAGATAATGAATGCGCGTTGATAATCCCCGCCGCTTGGGGCCGACTTGAATGTTTTCCCGGGAGTTTATCAAAACAACTACACCACAAGTAGACTGCGTAAAATAAGTTAATAATATTTGCAATGTTTAAGTTTCTACAACAAAATCCCAGAAAACGTTCTAAACGTATCAATATTTAAATTTAAAAGAAATTGTAAAAGAACGTTTGTAAAGGCTAGTATATGTTACAGATTACATTACCAATTATTTAAATGATAACACGCTGGAATTGAATTGATCACTCCAGGCTTTTTCAATCGGACTTTTGATATTTTGATATATTGCAAACATATTCACGCTGTCAAATAACCATTTTATTACTAACAAAAACAAAACCGACTTTAAATGTCTCGCTCTGTACTCATTTTATCATTGATTTTCAGGAGTTCGCTAAGTATCTCCGGAGCCCAAAATCCAATAATAATGAAATTAATATGGGCCAAATGGGAAGCACCAGCTTTCAAATAAAAAAATAATCATCAAAATCGGCTCTATCTCTATGTTAACTATCAATAAGTGAGTGCAATTTTCCAATAAAGATTCTTTCGAATTTGCATTTGACTAAACAAGGTTGCTTAATTTTTAAAGTTTTTTATAGTGCTAATCTCTGCACTTAAGATTGAACATTAAAACACGTAGAAAAAGTACGAAAAGATTTGTCGCCGCTGTGGGAATCGAACCCACGTCTTCGGCATTCGCGGAATATATATATATATATATATATATATATATATATATATATATATATATATATATATATATATATATCTAAATAAAAATGTAGAAAGAAGGCGTTAAGGTTTTCGTCGCTGTGGCTATCAACCGTTTAGCTCAGTGGCTAGAGCGTCAGCTCGATTCGATTCAGTCAGTTCGATTCCCACAGCGGCGACAATCTTTTCGTACTTTTTCTACATGTTTTAAGGTTGCTATTATTAACTAAGACTGCAAGCAAGCAATACATCAGCTAAAAAGAGGCGCTATATTTTAATTGAATATTTATAATCGAGCAACCCGATCAAATCGCATTGGCGGCAACAACAAAATTCTTAATTTTGAATCCTGTCGTATCAACTGCTCAGCGGTGAAGGAAAACATCGCGAGGACACCGAGGATATTTTCGAAGTAATAACAAAAATATATTTCAAAAGAAATGTGAAGTATTTTAACTTTCGCATTGGAGAAATATTGCCCTGGTGCGGGAGTCAGTTTTCTTTTTATCGAAAACCTAACGGCTTCATTTAAATCCGATATTTTAAATAGAACCTTTTTAGTACATATAAGTATTCTTCAATTGTACCATACACTGTTTTGTTTACAATATTGTATGAGTGCGAATGCTGTTTAAGAGAAAATTAACCTTAACAACAAATATAATAAGATGTAAAGCCTTAAATTCTTAGAAGAAGAAGAAGAAGAAGAAGAAGAAACGTTTATTCACGGTCTAAGCACAAATAGATACATAGAACACTTAAAAATAATAATGTAACTACACATTATATAAAATAATATTAGAATAACTTAAAATAAATGTAAACATAACAAAAAAAACTACTAAATAATAATAATAATAATAAGTGAAGGTCTGTGTAGCAGCATAAGACCGTGAAACGGACGGGACTCGGTTAAAGTCGAGATACAGTAACTAAGTTTCGTTCTGATCCCGACGCCGGTTTTCAGTCCGCCCGCACTTCGAGACAACTCGGGCGGCTGCGTCAGTGCACTTGTAATACATACCTACAACGCAGAAGTTTTTCCTTGTAAGCTTGCAATAGTCACGTCAGCTTCAGTAACTTCAGATGGTGGCAATTTGTTTATAGATGGTTAGAGATATCATACACAATTTTCAGCTTGTAAATCCCGTTTTGTAGTGATGTCTAATGCACTCGTGCATCGATGTCATTAATTACTGAAACACTGGACAGATAAACAGATAACGAAACATCGCCCTCATCGCTCTTTATAAGAATTCAAATCTATGACAAGCTTTAGGGATTATTCTATCTTTAAACGATTGAGAGATATATCCGATAAATAAAACAATAAAATACGATTTGTTAAAGTGATAATGATAACTGCAAATAGCGTAGTTTAAAGGGAAGCCGGATTAATTGCTGTCTTATATATTTTAGGTACACAAAATGGCATCGAATGGAAAAATTGAAAAAGGCGCCAAATCCGGACTGACGACAACGCTAGATGATGCAATGATGTTGACAGGTGCGTAATTTATTTATGAAAGTTTAACATTATATGTATAATAATCCGTACGGAGGATCACATTAATCATTAGGTGACATCTCAGTCCTGGAAGCGGACTTTAATTTATTATGTTATTTAACTTATACTATAATGTTAACTCATTACTTAGGATGTTATGAAATTAAAAAACATATATACATAGTTAGTCAGTTCATAAGTTTCGTCACATCCTTATTTAATTTAAATTTCGAATGCTATTTGTTTGATTTTAAATTCGAATTGCCCCTTCTCAAAATTAAAAAGAAATTGATTTTGTTCGCGGTTATTGCTCTGCGATATTTTGAAACAAAGCTGAGGTTCTTGTACCGTACTATTAAATGGTCTAATGAAGATTCGAACTTTGAAGATCGCAAAATGAACGGCTGACCTCGTACGGATTACCAGCACATAACCGCAAATAAAAAAAGTTAGCACTTCAATTGAGTGCATAACTACGCTCAAAAGAGTGATAAATGAAGAACTGAGACTCCAAGCTACTGGATATTATTTAATTTGTTATTTAAGTATCTAGTTAGCCTTATACTAACTACTTAACACTTGAGTGTATTAAGTGGTAAGTGACATAAATCGTCAGCGTAATTAACTCAATAAGGACTTATCTACTCACTCTTAAAGAAACGGCAATAAAACCGGACTGAAAATGTGCGTAGGGAAATTCTCGTTTATGTCTACTGCCTCCTGGATCCTGATCTCCGGGAATACAGAGGCATTTGATATCATAATGTCGTGCACGGGCGACAGTTAGTTTTTTTTATTTTTTAAATTTGGTCTGATCATCAAAACATGACTTGTTGGCGCAGTTGTTAAGCTATTAGTTTCGGCGGCTCGTGAGTTCGTTTCCAACACGGAACAACAATTTTTGTGACACACAGATAGTTGTTTCGATTCTTGGCGTATATTCCCAGGGAGGTTTGAGTTCAGGCGGGCGGTCGGTTGTCAGCGAATATCACTATCACTACATTGTATAAAACAAAGTCCTCCCGCTGTGTCTGTCCCTATTTATGCTTGGATCTTTAAAACTACGCAACGGATCTGTGGTTTTTTTCATTAAAGTGATTCCAGAGGAAGGTTTAATTGTATGATACATTGCACCCGTGAGAAGCTGGGGCGGCTAGTCCTTACTAATATTATAAACGTGAAAGTTTGTATGTATGGATGCATGTTTGTTACTCTTTCACGCAAATATTACTGAATGGATTTTAATGAAACTTTACAATACTATAGCTTATACATCAGAAAAAGACATAGGCTATAATTTATATACATATTTTATGTATATCTGTCTTTCTGTCTAATGTTACGCCTTCAACCTATTCTACGCAGACGTAGTCGCGGACAGCAGCTAGTTTAATAATAAAACGATTCACATTCAACTGTCCACCTTCGTGATAAGTGCCAAGTTTGAAATTTAGCCGATTTTGTTCATCATGTTCATCATTTCAGCCTATTTGGGCCTACTGAACAAGGGCCTCCCCCAAAACACTTTGTGGCAGAAGTAAGATCCTGAATCCTGAACCAACTGCATCCATCAACTTCCCGCACATTTGCGCAGTTCGTCACTAAATCTAGTGGGGGATCATCCTACACTGCGATTTTGTTAAATAAAACTAATTTACGGACTCTTTTCTTTTTTTTTTATTTTTATGGAAAAAAGGGGCAAACGGACAGGAGGCTCACCTGATGGTAAGTGACTACCGCCGCCCATGAACACCTGCAACACCCGAGGGCTCACAAATGCGTTGCCGTTTTCACGCATAGCTTTAGTTTTACTTCCCGACTTTTCAAATTCTTTGACGATTTTGTGTTGTATTCGCGTGCCCTCAAGAAATCATCTTGAGGGCACACGAAGACGATTTTATCCATAAACACTATAACACCAAATGCCATAAGGTCCATGTTTACGAAAATGAGGGCCTATTTATAAAGGAACCGTTATGAGATCATTTCAGTGCACGCGATAAAGGCGGGTTGTGCCGCATCAGAGATAACGTCGACCTAATGCGTTGACTATTCCTAATTACTCATAACATATTGTAGCGCAATTGCTATTGATATTTCAAATCTATACCTAATCAAAAGGTCAGCGGAATGAGGCTGCTTGTGGTCCGATAAATTTGTTGTCAACATTCGCAGGTATCTTGCTATCACGTCAGTTTAATGTAAATACTGATAGCACAACTGTGATATGATTAACAATATTTCCATTACTTGTTTATGAATAATCAGAGAAGGGGAATGAGAATTAGACGCTGATGATTTCAAAGTAACCGTGGTATTGGTAACCACAAAACAAAATATATCTATCTAGTCGCTTAACCCGAACAAAATAGAGTTTTAGCGTTTTCGACCGATCGGAGTGGCGATCCTGTTCACCCATTGTAGCTGTCCAGGTAGAACAGCAGCACATTATGTAGGATGGACATCATTTCAGTCTGTAAGCGTCCTCTGATGAACATAGGTCTCTTATAGCGATTTCCACTTTAATCGTTCAGAAAGGGTCTGCATCTGGCGAAGTCTCGCCTAGGCCAGGTCATCAGCCGTCAATCCTGCATTGCAACTTCACTTACAGACTCTCTTGACTATGATGCGGAGGTTCGGCGGATCTCCTCATTCCTGATTCAATCTCAAAGACAAATAACCCCAGGAAAAGACGTTTAGAGAGATATCGCTTTTTTTCTCGAGAGAAATCAGGCGCAATGCAGAAGATATTTTTAATGTTCAACATAGTTTAAATGTCGTATCACCAAGTAAGGGTTCACTAAAAAAATTGGAGTATACAAACTGTAGAAAAGCTGCTCCCAGTACCCAGCAATGCTTTTGCTGAAGTAAAAATCTCGTTAAATGTAAAAAAAAGCCCAACAAAGTTTTATAATGATGTTGACAACGAAAGTCTAAATATTAATATCGTGAAAAAGTTCCGACTATTGAAGAAGTAGAATGAAGCACTTGTATGTTTGGTCAACTAATCATGACGACCTTCCTTTAGCCCAAATTACTGGTGTTAGAAACGTCGATGTAATAATTGATATCACTCGATACTTTCGCAACACAACTGAAATTGATCAATGAGAAAAAGCAGGTAGACACAATTATTGGAAAGAAATCGATTCGTATAAAAGATAAAAACCCATCATCATTCTAGCATGTTCGATGCTGCAAATAGGCCTCCCCAAACATCCCCACTGATCCTGAGCTACCTGCAGCCATCCACTTCCCGCACACTTGCACAGGTCCTCATTACATCTAGTGGGGGGTCGTCCAACACAACGATGAACAACACGATACTGTCCAACGAGGACCTTTCAATCATTTAGTGCTGTGCTCTTCTTTAGACTCGGGTTTAGGTTTAAAGGTACCACAAATTCCGGTCCGTTTTTGTTTTATGTCGGCCTTGTTTTTTGTTTGTAAAAATATTCTTGTTTATATTTAAAACAACTATTAGTCGAAAAACTTGTAAACTTATGAACGTTAAGTATATAAATCCAACAATGATAACATGTCAAGGAAGTACAATGCCGTTGAGACTTATTTGCACTAGCGTTAAGGCCTAATTAAATTATTAATGTATGTAGAATATCGCAATGCTACGGACTTTCCCGCTCATATAATATTGACAGATGACGCTTGCTCTGTGTCGCGTGCGTATAAGAAAATATTTACATGAGATTATGATTTATTACATTGAATTTTCAACTTGATTCCCTCGTTTTTAGCTAAACAATTATGAAACTTTTCCGATGATTGCTTGAGATTAAATGGTGATGTAATTTAATATTATAATTTTTGGTTTTTTTATCTGGCAAGTTTAGATTTTGGAACCTATACCTAACATTTTTTTTCACATAATATGTAATTAACTTACACAATTGTGAACCTTTTCCGGTGTTTGGTTCAGATTAAACATTGATGAAATCACTTAAAATACGTATATGAATTAAAAATATTAAATATACGCAATTTTATAAAGCTTTACTTTGTTCCTGTATTAATTAACAGTAGGCATTATTAAAAACCTTGTTTTCTTATTTATATTCCGCATTTTCTTTAACGCTAGAGAAAATTTCGAACAAACTTGTTTTCGGAATGAAATCGTTTTATTGACAGTTAACATTTTTTGTTGTAAACCTGAACGTGGGTCATTGAGAAAGTTGCTACGGATATCTACATTGTTGATTTATATTTATTTATTAAGCATTGTTGATTTATTAAGCAAATATGTGTATGTACTTACTTTTCAGGATTCGGCATATACAACATTGCGCACATGCTTCTGAGCGGTACAATTCTGATGGGCGTGATTCTCCAGAATCTCGCTCTGGGCTACGTGATGCCGGCGGCGCAGTGCGACCTTGAGCTGACCTTGCAGCAAAGGGGCTGGTTAGCTGCCATACCATTCTTAGGTAGGTGAATTAATAAGGTCTTGCGTTGCCTAATTTAAAAGCTCAAATAGATTTTAGTTATCATTTTTAGATTTGTTTTTTATTTGAAAAGTTTCACTTCTGTTCCGGCACGCCATGGTATTTTCCTGTTCGTGCAATAAGTGTGGCCCTACCACAGTAAAATATGCTTCTCCTAACACATTGACAAAATTAAATATTTTCGAAATATTACATTTTTTATATCATACAGTTTATTGATAAACCGGCACGCGGCATGGTGCCAAGAACGCTAGCTGCATTTCCTCGCTGGACAGTTATAATTTCATTTTTTAATTATTATTGCGAAAATATACATGTTACCTTAGTCAGTCTTCTGCTAGAGTAGGGTCTCTCCGTCGAACTGTCTGTCTACACGGACATTCACTATCACCAGCACCAAATGTTGTTTTCAGCCGTGATCCTGACTTCGTACTTCTGGGGCTGGTTGGCGGACACGCGTGGCAGGCGGCCGGTGATGCTCTACTCGATGCTGATCTCCGTCATCATGTCCGTCCTGGCCAGTTTCGCGCCAAATCTCGTGTCGTTCGCCGCGCTCGAGTTTCTGTCCGCCATCTTGTAAGTGTCTAGTGACGTTATACAGGCAGCAATTGTGTGTAGATGACGTGGCGATATAATTACGTCACAGTAGACCCATGTGGAGTAGAAGCATATGGGTGTATGCATTCTCCTTGGAGTTCACAGTTCTTGTTCCTTTTTTTATTCAGCTCAGTTCTATGGTGTAAAGAAGATTCTTTTATTATGTCAAAGACTATATTCGTTTCTTTCTTATTATGATCCTGCAAATACTTTTGGTAAAGTCGTATTGAAGTATTGTAACCTTATGTGCATATGGCGTGGCATAAGATTACGTACGTTTTGTTTTGTTATTAGAGTTTTAATATTTTTATTCGTTTTTTATGACTCCGTGGTGCAGTTGCCAAGATTTGTATCGGCGCTGGAGTTCGTGGGTTCGATTTCCACACGAGACGACTATTTATGTGAACCACATATCATTATTTTGAATCTGGGTCCTTGTCCACATGAATGTTTGTAAAGCGTCCTTAATAAGGATAATGTTAACCTAACGTAAGGGCAATGCTGCAATCTAGTATAGTTGATGGTCGAATTGTGGTGTAGAATTTTGTATAGTCTTATAAATTCAGAAAACATTGTTTCGTAAATCCAGTTGACATAGTTCCTACAGTAAAAAGTAAGGAAGAGAAGAGTAAGAAGAAAAGTAAAAGAAGAGTAAGGAATACATCCACTGTTTGTGGAAGCCTTTCAAACAGAAGACGTCTTCCGTCTACTGATGACGATGATGACGAATTATTGTATTTAAAAATATTTATATTTATTTACTTATTTATACAGTTCCAATTGTTCTCATTAAAACTTGTCTTTCAGTATGTCCGGCTCGACCGCCGTGGTCTACACTTACCTTGGGGAGTTCAATAACTTGCGTCACAGGGACAAAATGGTCGCTTTCGGCTCATCGTTCGTGGGCATCGGCACAGTGGTGCTCCCAGGTGAATTTCCAAAAACCCTTTTTCGATTAATGCAATGGCCTAAGGGCAGTAATGACAAGCTTAAGTCTTGAGGACTTAACCCACTGACAGTAAACTGCGTATTTGCAAATTTCTCTCTATCTATCTATCTATTTCTCTTTCTTTCATTTGTGCCCTGTCGCCGCTGTGGGAATCGAACCCACGTCTTCGGCATTCGCGGCCTGACGCTCTAGCCACTGAGCTAAACGGCTGATTGACACACCGACGAAAACCTTAACGCATTCTTCTACATTGTTTTCTTAGTAATTTGAAGCAATGCTTGGCGCCATCAATTCTTATATCCTTTCCAGCATACAAACAATTACGAATATCGTTTTACAACGATAATTCGAACGAGAGATGTCGCCATTGCTTTTTTAGAAATTTAAATTGTTTATAGTGCTAATGTTTGCACTTAAGATTGAACATTAAAATATGTAGAAAAAGTGCGAAAAGATTGTCGCCGCTGTGGGAATCGAACCCACGTCTTCGGCATTCGCGGCCTGACGCTCTAGCCACTGAGCTAAACGGCTGATTGACACACCGACGAAAATCTTAACGCATTCTTCTACATTGTTTTCTTAGCATTTGAAGCAATGCTTGGCGCCATCTATTGTTATATCCTTTCCAGCATACAAACAATTTCGAATATCGTTTTACAACGATAATTCGAACGAGAGATGTCGCCATTGCTTTACATATAAGACCGGTGTGAAGTGGAAGTGTCATAATCCTGCGTTTCGTCTGATGAGTGAGGTAGCCGGGGCCCACTTTATTAAAAGGTAGCAATGCATCGGCAACCCTGCGAGTGTTGCAAATGTCGATGGACGGAGGTGAACCGCCAGCTAATTAAATTTGTATAAAGTTGTGTTGTAATTTCATTTCAATTTATCCATTACAGGCATTTCTTGGCTCATCCTCCCGCACGAGTTCTCCTTTCCGATCGAGTTCCTCGGGATCAACTACCGATCCTGGAGACTGTTGATAGTGGCCTGCGCCATGCCGTACTTCATCAGCGCCATACTGCTGATCTTCGCGCCAGAAAGTCCCAAGTTCCTCTACTCCTCGGGCCGTCACGAAGAGTGCCTGAAGATCCTCAAGAGCATCTACTCTATCAATAAGTGGATGCCTGCCGAAGAGTTTCCGGTGAGTTCGTCTTGTTCACTCGATCTTGTAAGCTCGAAAAAAATTTAATCATGGAGTTCGTGTTGTTTTCTTCTTTAATGATGAACTTGTTGTATCTTCGTTTAAAATTTGGCGTATATGAATATCATATTCTACATGTTTCATACTCCTAAAATTAACGTCTACATCATCGACTTAATTCGTTTCATTTTATTACATTTTTTTCCCCAACTGGACACGGACAAATAATAATGATTTAAACAAATATCAAAATAACCAATCTAAGCACGGTGCTAACATATATACCCAAAGGTCTACTAATACTTAATACCCTTTGATTTGAGTACTCGAGTCACAAAGACAGATAAAAAATGTTACTGTTATTTTTTCCTACTTTCGTTCCACTTATTTTATTTTACTGCTTAATTTTACTGCAACTCAATTGCAAGGCCCTCTTTGAATGGGGCACTTATTTCATAACGCATATCTTTTTATAGTGCATATCGTTGCAGGTCAAAAGTCTGATTATCGAAACGCAGTCGGCGAAGTGCGAGGAGGGAGAGAAAGGGAAGACAGCATCAATAATCGCTTCCATGCGAGACCAGACAGTACCCCTTTTCCGCCCACCGCTTCTGCCCTGGACCATTCTCGCTTGCTTCGTGCAATTCGGAATATTCGCCACGTGAGTTTGAAACAACTCTATCGAAGCAACGAAACATTTATAGTATTGGTTATATTACTTAAGCTTAAACGTGTCGAAAAGTTGCGAAGTTTACCTCCAATGGATATAGCGTACTCGTGGACTGTACTGTGGTTGTAACTTACTTACGAATTTACGTATATCATTTTTTATGTAAAATTTCGACGTTTCGTAAGAACGCGCAAGCGTCTATTTGCGTAAAGATATTTTGAGTTTGAGTTTGTCTCGTGGGCATAGGGATGTGTTTCTTTTTGTATGAGAGACAAAGGCACGTAGGATATACCGCGGAACGCGAATATCCAAAACTTTGCCAAACTACACGAGGTCATAGCAACCGGAGCTATATTACCCACCAGAGGAACCGAAAAAGTAAGACTACCTCTGCTTTAACACTAGGCTAATCATAGGCTACTTCTGAGACGGATCAAGCCAGTCCAGTCCTGCAGCAGCAAAATCTATGGGCTCTGGAGCTGTCGGGGAAAAAACTAAAAAATAGTAACCACTTCATGTATAAACTGTCCCGTGACCTCTAATTGTTAACATAAAACAAATTGATAGCTTAGCGTATTTGGCTATATTAGGTATGTGTATTTGATTTTAAATTGAAAGTGATAAAATTCGGATGGTCGTTGATATATTCACTCTAAGAAGTAATTTTTATCTAAGCTCGGAAGTTTAGAAATTCAAAGGCCATTGAATACGAATTGATATTATAAGATTGTGATTGGAACAGATTAAGAATTGTGCACTTATCCCCACAGGACGAACGGGTTCTACGTGTGGTTCCCGATGATTCTGAACTCGCTCGCCAACAACGGCGCAACTGACATGAGGATCTGCGACATACTCGACGCGGGCAAAGTCGTCGCGGCCAACGGAACAACGGTAAATAAAGTCAAAAACAATGTCGACTTTTACACTGACTTTAAATTTATTATAACTGAAATAAAGTCAAGCTGATCTATTTATTCGTCCAGGCTAGCCGCAAGTCCAAGTCTAATGATGACCACGACTTTAAACGGAAAATGGTTTATAATAATTTGCAGTTTACAACAATCTTTTTTTAATATACCTTAAATTTTATTACATCGGAACAGGTTGACTAAAAGAGAATGCGTATTAGCATTAAGTTTGCCTTTTGTTTGGGCTTAAGTTGACGTGTAAACAATAAATAAATTATTAAATAAATAAATAAACAGGAACCGTGATAGCTCAGTGTTCGGGCGCTCGCCTTTAATTACGTTTACTCGAGCAACCTGAGTTCGATCCCCGGTGCGCCCGAGAAATCTTTAATTTTAAGTGCTGAATTATCACGTGCTCGGCGGTGAAGGAAAACATCGTGAGGAAACCTGCATATTTTCGAAATAATGATAAAAAAATCGAAAACATGCGAAGTCCGCCAATCCGCAGTGGGGCCACGTGGTGGACTATGCCCCGATACCCTCTTTACAGAGGAGGTCTTTGCCCAGCTGTGGGACATTTATAGGCTGCTACTTTACTTTCCTTTTTTAAACGAACAGGTCGTCTGCGACGACACGATGAACACGGCCGCCTTCGAGCGGTCCATCTACATCGGGCTGGTGTTCTGCTCCATGTACCTGGTGGTGGGCGTGGTGGTGGATCTGGTGGGCAAGAAGGCGATCCTCGTCTGCGTGCTGGCGGCGACGGGGCTGTGCGGCGTGGGCGCCCACCTGGCGCCCGGCCAGCAGCTGGCCGTCGTGCTGTTCGCGATATTCCAGATGTCGGGCGCCTGCATCGGCATAATGAACGCGGTCGCCGTGGAGCTCTTCCCCACGAGGTTCAGGTACAGTCTCCCATAAAAGTTTTCGCCACAATGTCGTTGAAATCTTTCTACGAAGTTCCGGTACAGTCGCACTGGAAAGTGTTTGGAACAATGTCGTTGGAATTGTTCCCCTCGAAGTTCAGGTACACTCGTTCTGAAAAGTTTTCGCTACAATATCGTTGGATCTCTTCCCTACGAAGCTCGTGTACAGTCGCTCATAAAAGCTTTCGCCACAATCTCTTTGGAACTCTTTCTACGAAGTTCAGGTACGGTTGTACTGGAAAGTTTTCGCAACGATTTCGTTGGAAGTGTTTCCCACGAACTTCAAGTACAGTCGTACTGAAAAGTCCCTAAAACATCGTAAAAAGGGAGTAGTTAAAGTCGTAGTTTTATTCATGGTTCAGAGATTTTGACTATGGCAAACTCTGCTGAATGCACTAATGGGCAATCTGAAAAATCTCACAGCCTGATTGAAGACCGACCCGAATTGGAGATTTCCGTGCTTTGGTATTTCGTCTTGTGAGTGAGATACCCGAGGGCCACTGTTGTATAGGTTAGTAACGCAACTGTGGTCCCATATGACTCACTAAATATTTTCGGTCAACCGCCTGCTAACCTGCCACCTTCCCAAATAAAATGAAAATACTATCTTAAAAGGGTAAGTAGTTGACAAACGAGGGAAGTGCACGTAACGTAAATAGATTTATTACTATAGTCTACACATATAAATTAGTCAATTTATCATCAATACGCCAATGAAATTGTTAATTTTAAGTGCCGATTTATCACGTGCTCCGTGGTGAAGAAAACATCGTGAGAAAACCTGCATATTTTTATAAGTTCTCAATTAGACTATATTTTTTTTATGTTTTGATAATTGTTTTTTTATTGTAGCTGGTGCTTTCCATGACTTCCATATTAATTTCATTGATATGGAAAGACGTTGGACGTTGGGCTCCGGAGATACTTATGGACCTGCTGAAATCAATTAAAAAATTAAATTATAAAGTGAATACACAGCGAAAAATAATAACAAAAAAAAATTTCGAATATATGTGAAGTCCTCCAGGCTGCGTGGTGGAATATCCTATGACACCCGCTGTTCAGAGGAGGCCTTTGCCCAACAGTAGGACATGTATATACAATTACTTTATGTAACACATCAGAAACTTCGATGTAATTCCTGATTTTTATTTAATCTAATATCTTTGCAGGGCCATGGCGATCTGTTTGTCAATGATGATGGGCCGAGTGGGCTCTATGGTGGGCTCCAATCTCATCGGCCTGTTCCTGGAGATAAACTGCGGAGCAAGCTTCTATCTCTTCGGAGGGGTCATTATACGTAAGATAAAAAAATAATGTAGATTATAATCAGGGTTTTTTTATGTCAGAAAGTGGCAAACGAGCTGATGGTTCACCTGATGTTAAGTGATAGCCGCTTCCCATGAACAACGCAACATCCCTAGGGTTGAAAATGCTTCGCTACCTTTAAATAAAGTGTGCCCCGGCTACCTCACTCACCAGACAAAACACAGAAGTGTAACACTTCTACTTTACGCCGGTCTCCTGTGAGGTCGTGGTACTTACCCGGACGGACCTGCCCATTCGTGCAACAATGAACACTGTTGCGTGGCCCTAACACAGTTAAAATATTTTGTTCAGACATTTTCTCTGTATAATGTTTAATGCCTACATAGAATAATTGTAAAAAAAAATAGAATATTCGATTGTCTTTTTCTAAACATTTAGTAGAAACCGGCATTCTACATTAAGAATGAAATACTTAAACATTGGCACAATTCGTATATTTGCTACATTTTGATCTCAATTTACATACCATGGTATCTAAATATAAATGATAGGTGGACGTATATAAGATGCCAGACTTTATTAACTATCACATTTTGTCACAAAAAAGAACCCTGACGGCAAGTAGATATAACTACAATACTGACTACAATTTGACTGTCTCACTTAAATTATGTTTGTTCTATTAGTAGTATAAAAAATTTATATAAATTTTTTATACTACTAATTCTGCACTCAAGATTAAACCTTAAAATTTGTAGAAGTACGAAAAGATTGCCATTTAAATTATCGTTTCCAGTTTGCGGCGCTTTTTGCCTTGCTCTGCCTAATCGGAAAAGGCAGATATCGACGGAGAAGCAGACTGTTGAACCAGCACAAAACGATTCCAACGAACCGGTATGAACCGGTTGACACCGGTTGCATGGAACCGAATTCTAAGATAATACTCACGCTTATGACGCCAGTAAGATCTTTGAGAAGTTAGCGGAGGTTTAAGAAATGCGACAAAGTAAAATTCAATGAATTTAAATAAATTGTTAATTATAATATTACAACTTTTATAAGTAACTTAGTGACAATGGCTGTGACAACTTTATATTATAGGTACGAGTTTTTACCCGACTGCGCCAGAAGGAGTGTTATATTTTTCGAGAGTATGTTTGTATAATATATTTATATATTGTTTGGCACGATCTGCAGCCTGAACGGCTTGATGGATTTTAGCTTGAGAGGTGTCCTCAAATTACTGTGAGAGAGACACTGGGTATATAAATATAAAAAATTACGTAAAAACGCCATCAGGTTTTTTAGTTTTGAAATTATACCGCACTTGTTTATTAACTTTTATTGTTACTTCATCTGACTAATATTTCAACAATTAAATATTTATGAATTGAAATCTTAGTTATTAAAACTTAAAACATTAAGTATAGATTATAAAACACTCGAAATATTTTTTTTTTAAGTGGACGTTACTCTGTTCTAGTAAAATAAATTTTAATATTGTTTGTACATTTCATTTCTTTAATACTACTTAGTCGATTAAAAGACTTTCGAAAGATGTTTTAATTTTATTTTATAGAGCACCATGCATCACATCAACATTTAAAATGGCATTCCTGTAGAACAAGATATGTACTATTCTATGATAATATGATCATATTAGCTGATCCGGAAAATGTTGTTTTGTGGAATTTCGTAAAATCCGCTTCTTAGCTGACCTCTACTCAGCGAAAGGAATATTCCTACCAAATTTCAAGTCTCTACGCCTTATGGTTCCAGAGTATCGTGATGAGTCAATTATCGGTGGAACTCTCTTATATATATATGTATATATAGATTCTATTATTTGTTATATTCTTCACGTTGATGCAAATATCTTTTAGCCTTTAAAGTAGTCTTCTAAAATACATTTGGTGTCCCGTATTACAAACGAGCATAATAACAATACAATGGTACAAAACAGACACATTTTCATCAGAGTAACACGTACCTCCTCATGGTTTTGCGCGGGAAAACCTGCGCGCCAACATAACCTCAAACCCATCGGAATGAAATAAGTATTCTCAACGCAACTTTGGAAGCTATTTCCCGCCCGGCCTAATCACCGGAACTTGGAAGGTCTTCGCATCCGGGAAACCCTGAAGGAGGGCAGGAAAATTTCAGTTTTGTGGGCGGTTTTACTAGGGCATCAGGAAAGTTAGGAGATAAGTCAAATATCCCGTTACACAGTCATACAGCGCATGCGTTGACAAGTTATTGATTTTCCTACCATTGAAAGGAATTAATAAAAACTTGAAGGTGGCAGTATATTTAACATGTTTTCTATGAACAAAACTTGTAAAAAAAACAACGTTTATAAATTATACTTTATTTTAAAAATCTTTCTGTAAAGAAAAATTCGAATCAAGTTTAAATTTTTACAATGATTGGTAATTCTTGTTAAAGGCAATGTTTTTTTATATTCAGGCGTGTTTTATATTCACTTGAATATATTTTAATTATGCTAGCTAACTGTTTGTTAAGTACATTTGAAAAAATATTGTAATAGAAAAAAAATCTTATTCCAAATAGTTTCATTTACAAAATGCCTACTCCAATCAGTAACCAAGCTTATGAAATCCTGTATAAAGCATAAGGAATTTTTCCACGTCTTCTGATTTATATTCTCCTGGTAAACGGCATGTCGTGGAAAGTTTCTGCAAAACTTTTCCAGGAGAGAAAACTTTAAGGACGCAAGGCGTTTTGAACATATTGTGTAATTTCTTGATTAGGGCGTTGAAGTTTGATCGTTTGATACTTACATGGTAGAGGCCATATAAAATTTTGTAACAAAACGTTAACAAGAACAGAAAACTACATTTAGTATTAATAATAATATAATTTACTTAGTTGCAAAAACAATATGGTATGCACTAACAACAATTTTAGGCTTCTAAGTATTCGTTCGTTCCATTAACCTTTTTGACCCCAAAATCATTAACTTGGTTTTAAAGAGATGAATTCATTATTATTCGGATAATTAATTATCATTCATCTTAAATCATTCAATCAATCAGCAGAAAAACTTTTGGAACCAGTATCATTTCAAAGACTGTCTCGCTGAGTGCGACCATGAAAATAATTTTTAAACCACTTTAATTTCTTAACAGTCAAAACCATAATCACCAACTAGTAACAGCCGGAGGACACAGGCTCGCAACGGCAAAAAACAAATTTTAAATCCTAAAAAAGTAAAACATGATTTAAACATTTTTTTTTTTCTTTTTTTGTAACAAAATTGAATTTTAGTTATTCTGCTGTAAAAACATACATTATTGATACTTTCGTATCGAGAAAAGAATTCAATGGTTATGGTATGGATGATGTTTTCACATTATAAAAACTAGTGGCTGCCAAGGGTTCGAAATGCCGACCATAATTAATTATACATGGTAGGGTGTGTAATGTTTTTTTATTGATTTAATGTATTTTTATGCATAATTGGAAAAAAAGTATCAGCATTCAGCACTCCATCTCTATATAAACTACAGGTAAGTGTGGAAAATTTCCCCAGTCAGATAATAGCTACCGATCGTGCCGAGGTCCGGCCCTCTCGGGCACCCTCGAATCGGAATGCTAAACGCGTGCTGAGTGACAGCCCAAGCCGAGGTCCCCTCTCGGGGACCCTTGAGCCTGATCACTCCATGGAGCGCCCGCCAAAGCGCCCTAAGAGCTTGGCGGCCTCCCAAACCGGTAATAATAATAGCGTGACGGCCCGAGCCGAGGCTCCCCCGGGAGCCCTCGAGCTTAGTCACCATAACGCGTAATAATAGTACGCCGAGGTTCAGGCTAGGCGCCTCGTGCGCCAGGCCACCTCAAGTCCGTCGGATCTGTAAAGGCCCCTAAGGCCAACAGTGGCTCATCCAGCCCCAAAAAAAAAAAATTGGAAAATTTGAAACTCCTCCGTTCGCGCAACTTTTGCGTATTGATTTCATAATATCTTTTAATCGGGAGAAAAAAGAAAAAAAGCTTCTGTATTATGGAAAAGTTGCGGTGACCGTGACATCAATTTCAAAGCCGTGACCTAGAGTGCTCAGAACAAAGTAAAGATTTTCTTTGACATAGCAAAGCCTCCGCTGACCGAGTAACTTCTGAATACATTCAGAGACTGTCAGTCATGTCAAGCTGCATAAACTTTTGCAGTTATATTTTTTAATAATTTCTTGTCTTTACGTGATTACACATTATAAATGAAACTAATTTTACGGATTTATCGCGTTTATTTTTAATTTTAATTCCCGACGTTTCGAACCCTTTACAGCGTTCATGGTCACGGGACAGACTCTGTTATATTTTTTTTTATTATAATTTGAGAGGACTGACTCTTAGTGGTGAGGCTCACTACTAAGAGTCAGGCTCATAATCGGTATCCACATTAAGTTTTAACTATATTTATCTTACTACTAAAAGTTTGAATGCATCTTGCGTTGCATGAGAAAGTAAAAAAGTCTGGAAATTTATTTATAATTATTTTATAAACAATACTTTGCAGCGCTGTAAATCTTCAAATATACGTCAAAAAACTGATTTTTTTTTAATTCCAACGATTTCGATCATTACAATGATCCATGTCCGGACTGATACAATTTTTTTTATATGTGACAAGTTGCCAAACGAGCTGACAGTTCACCTAATGGTAAGTGAATACCGCCGCCCATAGACATCTGCTACACCAGAGGGTTACAGATGCGTTGATAACCTTTTGAAAATTGGGCTCCGGCTACCTCACTCACCAGACGAAAGCGAAAGTATTTGTCATACTTCCACTTTACCCTGGTCTTCTGTGAGGTCGTGTTACTTACCCGGACGGGCCTGCCCATTCGTGCAACAGCCGAGGCTGCTGCGTGGACCTACCACCGTAAGATACAAATATGATACAAAATCTGAGACAAATTTGACCGAGTTTAGCGTGCACGAAGGGGTGTACCATTATCTATAAAACGGCAAAGTGTTGTACGGGAGCCCTACTGAAATATTTTTATTCTGTTTTTAGTATTTGTTGATATAGTATTTATTATGTTTGTTATTATACACATTATTATATATTCGTACTGTATTATTATACATGATATACAATATTATTAAACAATAAATTCATATGGTAGTGCAAGATTGTAATGTAAGATTACAAAATCTTGGACGATACAAAATTTTTCATTTTACTGAACACAAATTCCACAAATTAATGTAAACTAATTTTACACTTTTTAGTTAGTAATCTGTTAAATATTTCTGTTTTTTTATTATCGTTTATTTTATAACTTATAAATCTTTCGTTTTTAAATAAAGTAAATAAAATTATGGAATTTATTATTGTTATTTTATTAAATACCGTAAAAAAATATGTATAATATAGGAAATCATGAGCCCACTGATATATTGGTACTTAGAATGTCTGCCTCTTCATATTGAAATTTCAAGAGGTCATTGGATTTGACCGTGGCCTACATTCTGTAACGAGACTCTTGAGAGTCTATTGAGACACTTTATTAAGAGCGGCGCCTATTGAGATGTACTAAATGAAAAAAAAGAATAAAGGTTTGCCACAGCGATAGCAGCTCAGTTGCCTTTCGATCGCTTTCGGTGACAGGCAGTAACTTTTGTACGGCATCGGGAAATATACGTGGAAATTATTCATGCTAAATTGTTGTTACTTCATAATTTTGCTCAACTGATACTCAGATCCAGTTCAGTTTCAGGTTGAGGGTATAAGGTAAAACAAATCGAAATCAGGGTTTGGTTCTCGTTACAAGTGTTAAGTGGCTTTTTTTATTCGATTAATTGGCGTTCAGACGGTTCACCCGATATTAAGTGACTACCACCGCCTATGGACATCTAAAATATCTGCAGATTTGTATGTGTTGCCTTTAAAACACTGGGCGCCGATTACCTCACTCACCAGACGAAAGGTGAAAGTATACCTGGATTCCACGCCTTCTCTTCTGTGTGGCGGTAGTACATCTCCGGACAAGCCTACCCATTCGTGCAACAACAAAATCTACTCCGAGGCCGTACTACAGTTCTCTTCTCTGAAATTTACGATCTTTCGGATACGTATGAAACCCGCAAGCCCAGTACCGTATTTACCAGCAGGCTAAGTAGGTTTGAAGCCTAGGACGGCAGATATTATGGGGCGGTAAATTTGGCTCAAAAATTTTTGTCTTACAGAAATAAAAAAAAAACATCATTTTAGTCTTGAAAATTTTACGCCTCAGTCTGTCCCATGACCCTGAACGATGTAAAGAGTTCGAAACGTCGGGAAATAAAGTTAAATGCGATAAATTCGTAAATATAGTTTTATTTAATTTACTAAAATCTCAATTTAAATAATGACACAATAGTTGAAACTTAGATTATTTGATTACTACGTATATTCATAGTCTGTGCATTGAATTGACAGCAGTAGGTGTCAGACATAACAGTACTTTGTGACACTGACTGCTGACATTTGTCATTTCCTACCTACTATTTTAGTAATGGTTCGATTAGACGGTCTTGTTTTCTTGCGTTTTGTAAATAAGAAGACATCGATCGCAACCGTGAGTTTGATACAGTAGCTTCAAGGGACATTTCACAGAAAGGTATGGCTATATGTATCTTTTCATTGACAGTTATTTATAACCCCTATATTCAATATAATAGTACTTTTTTTGCTACTTTTGAAAGAAAAACATTACTCATTAGGGCATTTAACTGTTACTAAAACAATATTTAGGACGTATATTTTAACGTTTTATTGTTATTTTTTCTTTAAGCATCCACTTAATCCTTGTTAATGGGCAGTTAAATTCTTCATTGATCTGTTTGCACTTGCTTTCTGTGTTTCTGTGTCGGCTTCTACCATCATCATAAATAATAGTATGCTTTACTGTGTTAAATTATTTTAGTTAGTATTTCAATTAAAACTTTGTATTTAAATTGATGTCTTAGTATTTTCAAAACAAAAAAAGTACTTTTCCTTTATTTATTACATTGATTTAAAGTGTAGAATTTTAAATGTCTTTTAAAGGAGGACAATCATGATACTTCTGTTATTAATATTGATACTACTTTCATGTATATTTACAAATCTATTTCTCTAGCATGTCTCACCATACTTTTAAAACTTCTCATTTTTTTTCAATTGCCAGTAATAAAATTATGTTTCTAAACATAATAAAACCCAAGAGGGTTGTATAAAAATAAAACAGATCTTTTTAAATGATGTTGTTTAAACTCTGAGCTGAAATGCTTTAATTTATCTTTAAGTTATATCATTCTAAAAGTAATACATTAGTCACTTCTAGGCATCCATCTTATTGTTTATGAACAAAGCTTAATTATAAGAAGTGATAAATTCTCATCAACCACTTAATGATGGACTTTTAGTTATTTCTTTTTATATACAATTTATATGTTACTTCGGTAGTTTTTGCATGAATGAGCCAGCCACAGAGACATACCACAACCTTACAGAAGACAAGGATAAAGAATGTACATAAGTGCAATAGATAACCCGATAGAGTACCCCAATTGCATGTAGTCTTGTAATCCCTACACATAGAGTGAATATAACCTTATGGGGAGGTGCACTAAAGACCAAATTTCTAGAAGTTGAGCGTGCTCAAAGATTGTTATTAAGAGTAATATATTTTAAAAAAAGGAGATTCCCAACTCAGAGTCTGTATTTGAATGCAGACTTACTTACAGTTAGAAAGCTTTACATACTATACATTGTTTTAAAAAAACATAAGTCTATTACATACAACTCTGACAATGTAGCTAAAAGAACTAAAGGTAAAGTAGCCCAGATAAATTATGTTCACACACGATTTGCTAAACACCAATTCTCCTACTTGTCTTCCCAAATTTACAATAAAATAAATAAAACATTACAGATATACCCAATGACATCAAGGGAATGTAAAAAAGAACTTACCATATGGCTGAAGTGTCTGGACTATAATGACACTGAAGAAATCCTAAAATCATGTCCTTAAACAATTATTTGTTTTAGTTATTTTGTGAACGCTACCCTTTCTCTCTCTCTCTCTCTCTCTCTCACACACACACGCATACGTAAACAACACACACACACACACACACACACACACACACACACACACACACACACACACACACACACACACACACACACACACATTTTGTTTTGTTTTAATATGTTGTATAAATTAAATAAGGTGTTTGTTTAGTTATAACATTTTTGTTAAGGAAGAGTGGCTTCCTCTGGCACAGGTGCGTCTGTACCTAACAGAGGAAGTCGACACTTAAATTGTAGAAAAAAAAACTGAAGCGAAAAAACATCTATTGTATTTTATTTTATTTTTATAATATAAACACCGGCCAAGTGCGAGTCAGACTCGCGCACTAAGGGTTCCATACCATTATATAGGGGGCGCCACTTATACTACTACTTAGTAATAGAGTCCTGTTTTACCCTTTCGGAATGGAACCCTAAAAATAAGATATGTGATATTCGCCAATCCCTCGCGGTGGACTATGCCTGTTACTCTCTGCACCGAGGAGGCCTTTGCCCAGCAGTGGGACATGTATAGGCTGTTACTTTACTTTTTTACTACACCGCAACAGGTTGATATTCAAAGCAGCCTTTAAAGGTAAGCCCAACACGATATTGAACGATATCACAGAACATACCGCTAGGAAACGAGGGAACTAGCTAATGGGATTGTATTGCGTTAGCATGGTGTAACCTGACACTAAAACTCATAGATTTATGTCCTTGTGTGGTTTCGTGAAGCTATTAAAGCAAGCTAATGTATTAATGGGCTCTGGGCTGGCCGATGTTAAAGATTCAACATTACAACATTTTTTGTGATAACAGAGGGTGTCTAGCGAGTCGATTAAATTCGTCGATATGTAGCGCACACCATTCTTTTAACTGCGGTATGGCCACGCAATGGTATATATTATTCACTGTTGCACGAATGGGCAGGTCCATCCAGGTAATTACCACAACCTCACAGAAGACCGGCATAAAGTAGAAGTGTTAAACTCCTGCGCTTCGTCTGGTGTGTGAGGTGGCGAAGTCCATTTATTTAAAGGTGGCAACGCTTCTGCAAACCTACGGGTGTTGCAAATGTCCATGGGCGGCGGTTATCACAACAGCAGGTGAAGCGCCAGCTCGTTTGCCACTTTGTCACATAAAAAATGCCTATAGATAACAAACTTGTTCGCCCAGGGGCGATTTAATATATGCCCTGCATGGGAGAGGGAGGCGCCCGATCCCGTAGAACCATATTGGACAGAGCCTTTCCCTCAAAGCAGTTATTTCTGCGATGTCCGAGAACTCAGAATGGAGCGCCATAGCCTCCTTCTGTAAGACTGGTAAGGTCCAAAAGGAGGCAGCTGAACGTGATCGGGATAGATCAGATCATACCCGCGGGAAACGTCAAGTCATGGTACTCCAAGATAGCTCTGCTAACTGAATGGAATCTTGAGGCTCCAGGAACGAGTATTGCAGTAATAGGGTCCATTTCTAGGACTCCGCTGTCTGTTCGTCTGTAACCAGGCTGAATCTCATGAACCTTGATAGTTAGACAGCTGAAATTTTCACAGATGATGTATTTCTGTTGCCGCTATAACAAGAAATATTCAAAATCAGAATAATTTTTTTAAATGGGGCTCCCATACAACATACATGATTTTTTTTGACATGCCGTTTTTATAGATAATGATACGGAACCCTTCGTGCGAGAGGCCAACTCACACTTGGTCGGTTTTTTGTTATTATTTCGAAAATATGCAGGTTTCACGATGTTTTCTTCCACCCCTGATCACGTGAAAGTGTGCGCTTAAAATTAATTTCGTGGGTCGCACCAGAAAATTTAAAAATTAACAGAAACATCAATAATTATCGACGTGTATTATATATGACATTGATTGAAAAAAAAAAAGAAATATAATTGATGGAATGTAATCTCCTTTGCTTGTTTTTAGCGAATATCTTTTGCAAGATTTTACTTTTTTCTTATTAATATTTATTATTGCGGAGACAAAAATATGCATTTATTCTAGAGCATGCTAAACGGACAACGTTCGCTGCGAATGCATTAATATTAACGTCACTGAAACCGTACCGTATTAACGTGCTGGACTAGGAATCTGGACGTGTAAAGCAAAGTATATCGCTTCCAGTTCTAATACAAATATAAGGGCATAGTGGAGGCCCCATAGCACCAAGTTATTTTCCAAATAAAATGAACAAACATTTTACAAATAAAGTGAACAATTGTTTTCAGTCGATTTTTCCAATAAATAATTTCTTGTGAAATCAAGTATTGATTCTTTTCTTATTTAACGAACGTATAAATATAATCGGAAACAAGAATTATCTAAAATTTAAGTTTGTTTTCTGTTTACTAGTCTGAATTTGAAACGTTTTTTTCCGAAGTCTCTATTAGGGGGCCCCTCTTTTATGGCTCCGTGGCTGTTGCTCCGGTTGCCCTTCCCTAAATCCGACCCTGCTGACACCCTCTGTACAGAGTAGGCAAGAACATGTATAGGCTGTTAATTTTAAACTTTAACGCTGCCCCTTCAGGAATAGTTCCCAAGCGAAGATGGCGAGCGGCGCGTGGGAGGAGTTCTTCGCGGTCCACCTGCCCCCCACGGACTTTGAGGACAACCGTTCCCTCCTCAAGGAGTTCTGCGAGCGCCACGACAAGTACGGGAACAGGATTGCATTGGTAACGGTGAGTGCGAGAGTCCATTATATCCGACCTCGCGACACAAAGGAGTGTAATGTGTTTATCAGCCTATACATCAGTATATCCAAGCCTTGATAGCTCAGTGTCAGGGCGCCTCGCCTTTAATTAACTACCCTACTTACTACTCGAGCAACCTTAGTTCGATCCTACGTGCCGAAACCATTGAAATTGTTAATTTTAAGTGCTGAATTATCACGTGCTCAGCAGTGAAGGAAAACATCGTGAGGAAACCTGCATATTTTCTAAATAATAATATAAAAATAAATATTTCGAACATATGTGAAGTCCTCCGATCCGCAGTGGGGGCCTTTGCCCAGCAGTGGGACATGTATAGGCTGATACTTTACATATGTCTATCGACCAAACTTGATTGTGATGATTTTATTGCTACGTCTATCGAATTGTCCTAACATTAGACATCATTGTTATCGTCACTAAAACGTTTCCACCTGTTCTCCAAACGGGGCCAAAGTACTGAGGTACCAAACATTTAAAACACACACACATGCACGACCGAATGAATGAGACGATAAAACTCTTTAAAAGTTCCGAGGTAACAAAAACTAAAGAAACACACACAAACGACCGAATCGAGAACCCCCACCTTTTTCGAAGTCGGCTCAAAACGTTTCCTCCCGCTCCCCTCCCGGGATACAGTCGGGCGGCACGACGGTGCCCCTGGAGCACAACACCGTCCGCTTCGTGGACAACTTCAGCGCCGGCACCCGGGGCTCCGCCTCCGCCGAGTACTTCCTGGAGCACGGCTACGCGGTGATCTTCATGCACCGCCAGAAGTCGCTGGAGCCCTACACGAGGCACTTCAGCGGGCAGAAGCTGCTCGACATGCTCGAGCTGAACGAGCGCGGCCCGAACACCACCATTACCGGTTGGTTTCTCTTCTTTCTCTTGTTATCTTCTTCTTCTCTTCTTCTCTTCTTCTCTTCTTTTCTTCTTTATTTCAAGCGTGGCAGTTAAGCGTTTTGTTTATGTGTGAGAAGGTAGGAACGAGCTGGCGGTTCACCTGATGTTAAGTGGTAACCGCCGCCCATGGACATTTGCAATACCGGTAGGATTGCAGATCGTTTGCCACCTTTTAATAAAATGCGCCCTGGCTATCTCACTCACCAGACGAAATGCAGAAGTATGAAATTTGCACTTCACACCGGTCTCCTATGATGTCGTGGTATTTATGCGGACGGACCTGTATTCCTGCAACAGCAGGAATCTTCTTCTCTTGCTTGGGCCTGCCACAGTTTCTCCAGATGATAAGCGGTTACTTCTGCTAATGAGCATTATGCTTACACAGTGGATCTTATACAGGCTTAGGAGCTTAAACTTTAAATTGTCGCTCGTTCGTTTACTGCTCTGCACGTGGCAAGGGCTCTGGCAGACGTTGCCATTTACTCTGCGCGTGGCAAGAGCTTAGGCAGAGGTTGCCACTGCCTGGCAGCGTGGTACCGCTGGTCTGTTCTGTCCAGTGAAGCCGGACAGCGTGGACGTGCTAGCGCCGGTACTGGCGAGGTACAAGGCTGCCCACGCGGCCGGCGCCCTCCTGCACGTCTCCTTCACGGCGGTCTCCGAGTACTTCTGGCTGCTGCGAGCCGCCTGCGAGTGCCTCGCCCGCCTGGGGCCGAGGGCGCTGCTGTACCTGGCCGCCGCCGTCTCCGACTTCTACGTGCCGAAGGATCGAGTGGTGAGACCACTTTGACTTGACCCTCGACCATAGGCTGGCGCTGTACTGTGGAATAGAGCTAAGGTATCCCCCGCCTGTCGTAAAAGGCGACTAAAAGGGGATACGGATTGGCAGCAGCACGAAGTGGTCTCGTCGACAGCGAGGGAATTAGGGAAGGTTTATCCTTCTCCGAGGCGTGCTCACGAGCAGTACTGAGGGTCAGTGGTGCGTTCCGCAGGAGATCCCGGAGTCCCTCCAAACGTACAGAAGATGGCAACCGAGGGGGTTTTAGTAGGTACGAACCCCACATAACCCTATCAAATCATGACAGGGTCTTTTGAGCATTTCCCCCACATACAAAAAAAGCTGGTGCTATACCGTATCGACCTAGTAGCTCGCTTGTTAGCATGTGCAGCAATAAACAGAACAGCCGCCTCAAACTACGGAGAATCAGTATCAGCCCATTCACGCTACTGGACAAAGGCCTCCTCTGTACAGAGGATATCAGGGTTTAGTCAACCACGCCGCCCCACTGCGGATTGGTGGATTTCACATATCTTCGAAATATTATTTTTTTGTTATTTCGAAAATACGAAGGTCACGATGTTTTCCTTCGCCGCTGAGCGCGTGGTAAGTTAAATCTACGATAAATACACGTATGTCTGCGACACACTTATAAACTGTTACTTCGTAACATCAACCTAACGAGCTGTTCAGATCAACCTTGCTCCCAACCAGCCCACCCACAAGATGCAGTCCGAGTGCGGACCACCGGTGATCCAGCTGTACCTGGTGCCGAAGATGCTGGCGCCCCTCGTGAGCCTGTGGGTGCCCAACGCCTACGTGGTCTCCTTCAAGCTGGAGACGGACGAGAGCCTCCTCATCCCGAAAGCGAGGGCGGCGCTGGATAAATACAAGCATAAGGTGAGCCGTTAGTTTGGATTGATGAACAAGCGAGGATTTTTTTATGTGAGAAATTGGCAAACGAGGTGGCGGTTCACCTGATGTTAAGTGATAACCGCCGCCCATGGACATTTGCAACGCCGGTTGCAGATGTTTTCACTCGCCAGACGAGACGCACAACACTGTGTAACACTACCATTTCGAACGGATCCGTGATCCTACCACGTTAAAAGTTCAAGTTAGTTTGCCTATCGCTTGTTTTCTATTCCACCTGGTGATAAGCGGTAATGCACTCTTTAGTGATGAACGTCACCAGTTGGTGGTCGCCTCGGAGGTTTTACCGTGGTAGGGCCAAGCAGCAGCCTTCACTGTTGCACGAGTGGGCAGCTCCGTCCGGCTAAGTACCACGACCTCGCAGAAGGCCGGCGTGAAGTGGTCCGCATTTGCAACATTACGGATGCTGCAGTGTCCATGGGTGGCGTTTATCACTTAGCATCAGGTGAACCGCCAGCTCGCTTGACATCTTATTACATAAAAAAAAGGAGAAGGCTGAATATTAATTTCCGAATGGGTTGCAAGCCACCTCATATTCCATACGTCATTACAGACCTAAGAAATATTCTAAAAGGATATTCCATTGTTCGGCAGATGGTGGTAGCGAACCTCCTGCAAACACGCCACCACAGGGTCATCCTGGTGACGCCCGAAGCGAGCCAAGAGGTCGTACTAACTAGGGAAGAAGTTCACGCGGGTAAGTTACGGATCGGTAGAACTTTGTAGCGGTATGATATCATCAGCGTTATAACATCATTACATTATACGACCAATCATCAAATACATCTTTGGTAGACAATAGATGTTAAGGTTTGGTCAGTGGTTCTTTTTCAAATTTAAAAATCTATATTCAATGTCTTCTACGTCACAATTATGTTTGTCAAAATACTACTACCGGTTCGGAAAAGCCACTGACCTGAGAAGAAATTCAGCGGGACATTTTTTTTACCATTGTTTGACAAAGAAATGTGTTGAAAGTAACTTGAAAGAACCCGGAGCGATCTATTCATATTCAGTGCGTGTTATTATTTAAACAATCACTAATATGCTGTAGGGTCACACAACAGCTCCGGCTGTTGCAGGAATGGGCAGGTCCGTCCAGGTAAGTACCGTGGCCTCACAGAAGACCGGCGTGAAGTTGATCGTCTGGCGAGTGTGGTACCCGGAGCTGACATGGCACAGCCGGGCTGTAAACGCATCTTCAACCCTACTGGTGTTCGAAATGTCCGGGGGCGGCGGTTATCATTTAACAGCTGGTGAACTGCTTACCATCGCTTGCCAACTTCCCACAAAAAAGGAAAACCAAAGTAAAGTAACAGCCTAAATGTCCTACTGCTGGGCAAAAGACACCTCTGTGCAGAGGGTATTAGGGCATAGTCCACCACACGACCCCACTGCAGATTGGCGGAACTTCACATATCTTCAAAAGATTATTCCCTGTTCTAAAATATTCAAATATCAAAACATCGTGAGGAAACACGATGTTTGCCTTCACCGCTGACCAAATGATAAGTCAGCACTTAAAATTACAAATTTCATTGGTGCCGGCACCGGGGTCTAACTCTCATTAAATTAAGTTTTTTTTTTTTTTGTGAAAAAGGGGCAACGAGCTGGCGGTTCACCTGATGTTAAGTGATAACCGCCTGCCCATGGACATTTGCAACACCCACAGATGCGTTGCCACCTCTTAATAAAGTGGGCCCCGCCCCGGCTACCTCACTCACCAGACGAAACGCAGGACTTAGGTTGCTCAATTGTATCGAATTAAAATCGTACTCGAAAAAGTTTCCGCCCGAAACTGTACAGGCGTCGACATAGAGGCGACCATAGTCGCCGAGATAGTCCGCCTGCACACGGAGCACCTCGGCGGGCCGAGTGTACGCTGAGTGTCGCGCGGCCGCCTGCACCGCCTGTACCTGACGACGGAATAGGCCGGCGGCCGCGAAAAACTGCCTTATTGCAAAGCGCCACGGTTCAACTTGGCTTGCAACTGTTTATGACGTTTTACGTTCGGTGTCTGTGAATGTGCGACGGATTTTAAACCTAATTCCTTCCCAGCTTAACGTTAGTTTTTTAAATCTATCGGTGGCGCGATTACTTGGTGTTTGCTGTTGTTCAGTTCTCGGCCTTGTCGTTCCGGTAATATGGTTTATACTTAATTGTAATGTTGCAGTTGGTGATGTGATCGAATATTTTAGTTGTAAGCCGCAATCGTTGTGTTGTTCATATTTATTGTTCAGGCGGATGCGATTTATTGTTGTCTTTGCGCTGTCTGAAAGAGTTATATTTAATTGTACTGTTCGATGTTGATTGTTACGATAAGCATTGATTGTTCTCCGTAATAATATCAACTGTACTATTTTACCCTGTGCCACTAAAGTTATCGTTTGCCTAGAAAATGTTTAAATTTCTAACCGATTTGCAACCTTATCGTCTTCGCATACGAATCAATTTTCACCGCACTAAAAACAGAAGCTGACGCCCGGTTTCTGAAACACTGATCATCGTAGATGTTAACTAATCAGCTGACAAATGTCTTTTCAAATGTTACTTAAGTTGCCAAAAGGATGGCTAAACTCTCTGAATTGATTAGAATGATCTTCTTAATGATCAGAATGGTCAATTCATAGAGTTTAACCATCCTTTGGGCAACTCAAATGACATTTGAAAAGCCATTTGACAGCTTATTAGTTAACATCTACGATGATCAGTGTTTCAGAAACCGGGCGTGAATCGTATAAAATGAATTGTGTACTAAGCTAATTTTACGCCTTTAAAATAAATTTTGTTTTTTGTATTAAAGGAACAAGTAACAATTGTAATACATTCGAGCTTATGTTCGAACGGTGTTTAGTACCTCATAAATCATGGACAATATAGTTTCTTTATCGTAATGAGTGAAATTCTCGTCTCGATTGTACTAAGGATTCTTTAGGATGTGTACGCTGTAAAGCGGTTACGATGTTCCATTTTTAAGTTCGCGAAACGACGGGATTGGACACGGGTTGTGAGATCGGACCAAAATTAATGAATTAAAAATTTACCTGCCCTAACTCTGACGTTAGGACGATACAATATGTATTTGCGCTTATTAGATAAAAATATGTCGTTTTCTTCTTATTTTCAAACCCACCCACGTATTCCGCGAAGTTAAACTGATGGTTCATTATTCATTGATAATTAAAATTATAATTACAAAATACATTACACGAGCACATTTCTCGTGCACATTTGGTTACAGAAACACTACCAAATTAAAAAGCATCACAATCAATGTTATTTTCGTAAAGAAAACATCTTTCTCTTATATGTAATGTACATACGACAGTGTGAACACCACCCTAGCTCCCTAGTTATAGTGTGTATGCGCCTTAACGGTTTCCTTGTATAGCGCGAGAGAAACTTAAACGCACCAATAATGTTCGCCGTGCATAATTTAAAGACATCAGTGGGGCGGGGTAACGGGAGTATATTGCCGTCTCGTTCGCGCCGTAATCTGACGACTTCCTGTCCTGCTCCCACGCGTATGAGTACAGTCGCGAGCAATGTTTTACGTGCATGGACTTTTTTCGTGCTAGGCAGTTTTGTTTAACAATAACTCCATACATGCAGGCGACTGTACACGACCAAAGCCTTTAGAAGGGCGTGTTTGAGTTTTTCTCAGCTTATACGCGATTATACTTTCGCATGAATTTGTTGACAAAAAATCGCACTTATGGTCGTACTTAGACCTCAATGAGCTCTTGACTTTCGCCAAATCAGTTCTTTCGTTGAGTTTTATTATCATAAATGAACGGATTTAACTATAATCAAGCTGTTAATCAACGTCTCTGAGTATTTATTAATCGTTGGCTTAATGTGGTGTGCGTCGTGCCTGTGTGTGTATCCTTTCGACTGACGTCTGAGCTATCCTAAATTGTAACGTGAACGCCCTCTACATGTCCCGTAGGTTATTTTATTAGTAGATTTTATATGTCTATACGAACGTTGTGCGATATATAGAAATGTATCATTGTTAAGTAGATAGCGTCTAATATGAATGTCTCGAATTTGTAATCGATTGTTTAATGTTAAGTGTGTGTGTCGACCGTACGCTTGGAAACGGTATTCTGTTATCCGAGAGAACGTCATTTGACGTTTATAAACTAGTTACATATCAATATTACCCTGTAGAGGATTTTTTCTTCGTTTATGACAGACGGCTATTGGTGTTTTTAAAGTCTATTTTAACTGTCCAGTGGACAGCGATATTATGAAATATACATTATATCATATGTGAACGGATAAATAAAGAGTTCTGTGTTACGAAATTGTTTTATTCATTGTCTGTATTTATGTTGGTCCCCGCGAAATTAATTTTCGAAATTCACTGCATAATAAAATGTTCTAAAATTAAGGCCATTATTATTACTATTTTTTGAATGAAGAATCACTTAAAGATTCAGTTCTGCCAAATCTGGATTCGCAGAATAATCCGTGGAATGTTCTGCCACGCTTATTTCACCATATCAGACTTGAAGACAGCTTCTGCCGTTGCAAGAATGGGCAGACCGGGGAAATACAACGGCCACCATACAGGGAGGCTTTTTAATAGTGCCCAAATTTACACAGGAGGTTCAGATGCGGTAGTTATAATCGTTTATTGAAATAAAAACAAACTTTTTTTTTTCAAAAAAAGTTACATTTTATTACCTAAAAAACAGAACTCGTTGACAACGCGGTAGTCATTCATAAATATTTCACTATTCACGTACACAAAAGAGTTTGTGTGCGTGTTAGTTATGAATGATCGCGCGTAAAATAAATGAGTTTCGTATAAATCACACACTTTTGGAGATAATTTCAAATGAATGTAATTAATTACTTACGAGCGATTTAAAATATTTATAATTTTTTATACAACATTATTTATTTCTAGAATTTAATAAAAAGAAATGGGTACACTTAAATTATACTATTAAAGGATAATTTAAGTGTACGTTTCACAGTTCGAAGTTTTTAAAGGTTGGCTATACAGTGTATTATACTTTTGTGTTTCTTTTATTGAGTGGAATAAGGGTTCCGACGTTTTTAAAGGTTGGAAACGCATCAGCAAAGCAACGTCTATAAAGATAAAGATGCTAATGTCCATAGGAGATGGGGCCGTACGCGTCATCACATCAGGCGAATGCTCGCTTGCCAATATTTCACATAAAACATGCAAAAACAAGTTGTTGATAGATTGTCGCGTCGTATGGATTACTCCGCTTGAGTTATGACGCGTGTGTGAATTGAGGTTAAAATTATAAGTTTACAACATAAAAGATACGCTGTAGGTATGCTGAGCTAATTATGTACTGCACAGGAGAATAGTAAAAATACATTTTTATAATAGAACATAAAACATAAATAAACCAGATTATACAAGGGTCTGCATCCTTTGTTAGGTTTTTTCTTAATTTGTTTACATTAAAAATTATAAAACTCGATCATTTCTTATTGATAAAATTTCTCATTTAGTAATTAAAACACTTGAAAAAAAGCTTTTGAACATAAAACAAAAAAAAAATACTTGCGGCGCTTGTGTCAATGTGAAGAAAAGATTACCCGTGATTCCACGCAACTGTTGCACGAATGGGCAGCTCCGTCCGGGGAAGTGCCACGACCTCACAGAAGACCAGCTGCGTTTCGTCTTCTGACTGAAGTAGCCGGAGCCCACTTATGAAAAGTTAACAACGCGGGTGTTGCAAATGTACATAGGTGACGATTATCAAGACCAGATCCGTGATGTCCTTGAAGTGATTAAACCATTGTAGGACCCACTAAGAAGGACCCGGCCATTTGTTGATGGATAGCAATGAGAGCCACATTTCCTTTCCGGCGATTCGTCTAGCAAAATACATATATTGGTGTCATTCTCTTCAAGCTAGACCCACACAAAAGCGATAAAATGCAATCAATGTATAAATCTTTCAATGAATAATAAGGAAAGTAATAAAACCGTAACATTTTCTATAATAACAATCGTCGCAAAAAAAATCGTGTCTGGTATGGTAGACCGCACTAATTTTTTTTATCTGTTTTTTTTTTTTGTATTTGTCGTCGAAGTATCACGGCTCATGAGATACAGCTTGGTGACTGATGGACAGACAGACAGCGGAGTCTTAGTCATATGTTTCCGTTTGACCTTTTGGACACGGAACCCTAGATAAACATTATTGATGAATATAGAGACATAAAGGTAAAAGTAAAGAGCCTGTATATGTCCCATTGCTGGACCAAGAACTCCTCTGCAATAATATTAGGGAATAGTCCACCACACGAACACACTGCGGATTGGCGGACTTCAAATATCTTCGAAATATTAGAAAACCTGTAACGTATATAATTATACTAATAAAAAGCATCGTGTACGTGTTTAATAAGTCTTTAACGAAAGATAGTTTGAAAGTAGTTAGAAAGAGCAATGGGTCTTTTGATTGATAACCGTCCTAATTACGACACGACATTATAACGCCAACTTAAGAATTTCCTACATTTAGGAAGAAAAAAATTTACAATGGTAGTTGTAACGAACAATGTACATTCAAAACGAAACAAAGGATTTTGTTTCAATGTAGTTAATTTTAGCGGGTTTTTTTGGGTTTTTGAATTGCTGTAGGAGCATTTTTTTTTTCAACAGTTGGTAACACTGCATCATAATGATAGGGGTTAGGAATGCGTTAGCATCTCCACCATATCTGTGGGGGTAGGAGTCGCATTGGATTCGCGGTGAAGTTTAAATTTTGCGCGCCGTTTCGGCCACTCAAAAGTGGCGAGGGGTTTTTGTCTTTGTTTAAACAAAAGAATATCGCTATCGCTTCGTCTACTATCGCGGTATCGGGTTACTGACCTCACAATGAAA